GTGTGTACGTACATAAAACAGCTTGGCAAATTTACATTAAGTTGGCCAAATTATCTTGTAATTTCGAACATCTCCTAAACCCATAATGTCCACGAAACGGCCTGGACCGACACTACACGTGAGTCACTGTATTTGTATACATGTAATAGTTGCTAATTGTAAAAAAAAAAAAAAAAGTTTTCTATTTCGCGGATTTCACTTATCGCGGGTCATTTTCGGAACGTAACCCCCGCGATAAACGAGGGATTACTGTATAGTGTAACCCAGAGGTAGAATTGGGGCTCACCTTCCCCTGGGGGCTCTTCTCGTTTCCGGGGTACAGGAATATTCCTCCATACATCAGCGTTCGGTGCACATCCGCCACCATGGAGCCGATATACCGAGCCCCGTACGGCTCACTGCCATCCTGCAAGGGTTAAAGAGGTTTATATAACCCTATAAAGCCAAATGTGTCATATCTGATTAATACGGTTTCTGAAGTCTTTTGGATGTGAGACTTTCTGCATCATTCAGTGGTAAAAGCTTTGCTCAAACCCCTGTTGTACACATTCAGATATACCTGATAACAGCCAGTAGAAGACCACACCAAAATACATTTTTGACTTATTGCACACTAATTTGATCAAAATAATTTCTGTTTTTTTTCTTCATATGTTGTTGAGGGGCCAAAGAAAGACTTCAGACTAAAAGAAATCCAATATTTCTCCTATTTTAAAGGGTTAAAGCTGCTTTTTTGTGCTTTTAAAGCTATTTTTGGGGGGCTTTTAAAGCAGTTTTTTGTGCTTTTAAACCTGTTTTTTGGGGGGCTTTTAAAGCTGTTTCGGGGGTCTTAACCCTATAATGCCAAATGTTTTTGATCCGGTTTCTGAAGTGTTTTGGATCTGAGACTTTTTGCATCATTCAGTGGTAAAAGCTTTGCTCAAACCCCTGTTGTACACATTCAGATATACCTGATAACAGCCAGTAGAAGACTACACCAACATACATTTTTTACTTATTGCACGCTAATTTGATCAAATAATTTCAGTTTTTTTTCTTCATATGTTGTTGAGGGGCCAAAGAAATACTTCAGACTAAAAAAATCCAATATTCTTCCTATTTTTCTTAGATCAGGCTTCAAAGGGTTAAAAGCAACCCAAAACAGCTTATTTATATATGAGACAGTAAATATAGATAAGCTATATATATATATATATATATATATATATATATATATTTGACTTATTGCACATTAATTTGATCAAAATAATGTCTGTTTTTTTTCTTCATATGTTGTTGAGGGGCCAAAGAAAGACTTCAGACTAAAAAAAATCCAATATTCTTCCTATTTTTTCTTGTGTCGGGCTTTAAAGGGTTAATTCGAGGACCCCTTGAGGGCTGTAACTTCCTATAAATTAGCAACTCAGCCAGTAATCAGGGGAGATTTACTTTAATTAGAAGAAATATTAAGATTATAAAGAGATATAAAATTGTGCCGTTTTCTGTTGAGAATCCAGATGAAAATGCTTCTGTTTAACTGTGCAGACCATTTACCATCTCTTAAATACACTGAAAAGAATCTTTGATGCCTTAAAATAATAAATAATAAAAATTATAAAAATACTTAGAATAATCAATAATAGTAAATAATTACTGCTTAATAATTTCATAATCAAATATTAAATAACAAACAAAAATTAAAAAATAAAATAAAAAATAAAT